CAGGGCCTCGTTCTTGTTGTCGTCGGTGTTGCTGCTGCTGCCACCGTTGCTGCTGCTGCTGTCTCCCGTGGTGAGGGTGGTCAAGGCGGCCGCGACGTCGTTGTTGTGGAGGCGTAAGGCCCTGGAAGTGGCAGGGATGATGGTTGGACGCAGTCAGCACGCAAAAACAGAAATACGCAGATTTAGGTGTCTGCTCGATGTTCACAAAATGCTCAGGGTGTCAGGGAGAGGCAGAGAGAGAGAGAGAAAGAGAGAGAGAGAGGTGTGGGTCTTGACGTAAATAAACACTTAAACGCTTCGGTAGCAAGTGCATTGCCGTTGCCGTTTCCGTAGTAACTTCATGCAGCGGCCGAGAGAAGGTCGGGACAGAACCTACTAAGCTGTATGTTGTGTATACATGTTTTTACACCAAAATGATCGGAGATCAGAACAGTTCTTGGGCCTGACCACCTGAACTGCCACAACTACATCAAAATGATGTGAGCCCCACGAATCCCATGCCTAACTACATACCAGCAGCTCCTGGGACTCTACCTTACTCCATTCCAGTAGTTCCTGCGACCTTGGCAATCAGAAGAACACATACAGCAGCACCTCAGAGACCTACCGAACTTGCGAAAGATGATCTCCTGCTGATCCTTGCTGCTGAGGACTCCGAACCCGAGGATGTGCCGCTGGATGTACGCCTCACAGCCGTCTTGACGCTTGCCAGGCGTACGAGCTGGACAGACACCATCCCTCAGGGGAGTTCCTGTGCAACAACGCAGTCAGCCCACAGCGTAGTGGCGAAAGCGGAGAGCATGGTGGGCGTTGCACGTTGCAGTTGTGGGCTTGAGTTGTTGAAGGCGATTCAATTGGTTCTCGAGGCGTTCGATGAAAACAAATCAGAGGAAACCTGCCCACGCCCCTGCAGCAGCTGCAGAGTAGATGCAGAGTAGAGTGCGGCCTTCACGCGGTCTCTCAGTGTTAAGATGTACAGCATATCCACTATGCTACAAGTCAGCTGACTTGTAGCATAGTGGATATGCTGTACATCTTAACACTGAGAGACCGCGTAGAGGCCGCAC